CCCTACAGTTTGATTTTTGGGTCTAATTTAAAACTGCGGAAGTCAATGAACATTGACATCACTGGGCTTTGGATCAGGTTTTAAGTGAGTGAAAATTGTGCACACTATATAAGTGATACACACCTGAATAATCTGACCCAGGTTGTTTGCTTTGTGTGGTATTCGCATTACACTGGAGTGATGAGAAGGTTATTTTACATTGCTCAATACATGGTTGCAGAGATGCTGTAAGTTTGCTTACACTGCAAATTTATCCTCAAATAGAGCCCAAATCCAACTCCCATTGACTTCAACAGGAGGTGAATCAGACAAGAAGTGGAAGCAATGAGGGCTCAGTCTTTTTTCAAGGAGACATGGTGGGCTTTTTGGCACATGCACATTTATATGTCTTTTTTGTGTGTGTCTTTATCATGTCCAACATAGTACGGATAGCTAGAAAATAATATGCAGCAAGTGCAGCAAGTGTTTCTAGGCGGCTTTTCATTATATCTGATAATGGGAAGATAGTATTGAAATACTTGTGCTGATATGATGTCACTACAAGTCATTACAAATCAAATTTTACAGTGCTAGGGAATATTTTCTAAAAGGCACAAAGGAAGAATTTTTCATAGTGTCCCCATTAACATACAAGCAGTTGCATGACTCACACACCATTTTGACAACTCATGACAAATTTCACTGTTGGAAGCACATACATTCATTATGGATCTGCTCCTGCTTCCATTGAATTAATTGATTGGTCAATGATAAGGGTATTTAATATAATCTTTATGCGTGCATCTGAAATTAGAATCTGGCATTTAGTGACTTTTCGGTCAATGGGATCTACAATTTGGCAGTTGTGAGACTTTAGAAGCACATTAGGGTTAAGAGCTTTGCGCCCTATGTGTCAAAAATTAAAATTAATAACTTCTTTTGGAATGGAAAAAGCTGGTAGCAGAAAATGAATGTACATATATACAGGGTGAGTGCGTATGTGTATACACATACCTACTTCATGCAGAAAACTTTCTTTAAAGAAAAACAGCCAAACAAAACAAACAAAACTCAAAAGCAACCAGTGCTGCACATCATGTAAACTCACAAAGTGTACTTTCCACACCAATATAAAGCATAAATAAAAAGAAAAGAAAAGATGATAGCAAAACATTTTAAATATAGAATTTGCACAATTGGTAATTTTGTTAAATAAGAATAAATAAATTCATTACATCCATTCACATACCAGTTGTAAAAATAATAAATTATTTATTTCTTTTCAGTGCTGTGTTGCTTTTTTTACATTTGCGATTAACCCCCAAAACTCCCTCCCTTCCCCCTGCCCTATTGGATAAAACTGTTTCCACAGGAAGGTGACTAAACTGAATTTCTTGTCCATAGTCAGGCCAACCGTGATAACCTTTGTCATAGTTAGGATAATTCTTCTAAGAATGTTATGACTTACTTTAGACACACCAAGTAATAGTAATGCATGTGGAAGACAATGGAACTACATCCTAATACATCAGCTGTGAATTTAGCACTGGAGTTGCTAAAATAATTTAGAATTGGAGTTGCTAAAAGAATTTAGCATTGGAGTTGCTTACGTGTTTTATTTCCATACAGAGAAAATTACTTTGGATTTTTGAATTGGGCTTCCATTTCTAGAAGCATTTTCTGAGTCATTTTCATAGGGAGGGGTTGAAATGGGCATTGTAGCAGAAAAAAGCAGCTAAAAGGAGGGTGTAATATAAAGCAGGCACTTACCTTATTTTATACCCTCCTGTTAGTTGCTTTTCTTCTATGTCACCCTTGGGTCCTCCAGTGTGTAAGTTACATTTGGTTTGTATATTCACTAAATGCTAAACTGATGCAATTTATATTCTTTTCCTGTGTTCTTGTCAACTTACTCCTGATATGTAACTTAAACTACTAGTTATATCAATACAAGATTTGGCCTGGAAACTTATAAGGACATTGCTCCTCCCTCTCCTGCACTTGAGTAGTCCACCTTCACTTCACAAGTGTCCTCTAGCACACTCCTTTTACTGTGAATGGTTGCTTCTCCCTAGGGAACAAATTCATCTCCGGTCTAAAGTCACTGATTTCAAGTGTCTTGGAACACTTGTTCATGATGCAGCTGTGGGGAGAGACAGGGAACATTCCATACACACACACATACACAAAGAGAAATCTCACTCATCTGGGACCATTTCTAGCAATAAGGCCACGCTACTCAGACAATAGAAATTCATCTCACATCTAGTGACATGCCCAGCACATTCAGCTGTCAAACATTGTAGAAAATGTTTTGTTTCTATCAGTATAATTAATATATTTACAAGAATTTAATCAGAGTCTGAACCAAAGACCACTGAAGACAGTGAGCTTTGGATCAGTCCCAGTGTGAGATGGCTAGGGATGTTAAATTTAGATTAATCAACTAATCAAGTAGTTGATGGAATTTCCATCAACTACTTGATTAGTCGATAAGGA